TCAGTAGTGACAGATGGCAGAACAAGGAGCAATGGTCTCAAGTTGTGGTGGGAGAGGTCCAGGTTGGATATTAGGAAAAACTATTTCACTAGGAGGGTGGTGAAGTACTGGAATGGGTTACCTAGGGAAGTAGTGGAGTCTCCATCCCTAGAGGTGTTTAAGTCTCAGCTTGACAAAGCCCTGGCCAGGTTTATTTAGTTGGGATTGGTCCTGCCTTGGGCAGGGGGCTGGACTTGATGACCTTCTGAGGTATCTTCCAGCTCTATGATTCTATGATTCTATTATTCTTGCCTTCAAAAGCTCTGCTTATTCTATTTGACCCTTAAATAGGTAGTGTTCCTGGGTGGTGAGTGAATCTAGGCCTGGAGGAGGCAAGTCCTCAGATCCAGCCCTTCAACCCTAGGCCCTGATCCTGCCATCCAGGGCCTCAAGCCAAACCAAGCACTGTAGGGGCAGGCCATGTCTACCAACAGGAGATGCATAGCCCCAGCTCTCTACAGGAGCACAGTGAGGGTGGGCAGCATGTGATCCCAGTCTTCCAAGGGATAACATGAATAGTCTTGGAAGACATGTAGCACTTGATGGGTAACCCCTTGAGCTCAGGGCATGAGCAGCACCCAGCTACTGCCTCCCTAGCCCTGTGAGACTTGGCAGAACTGAAGCCCAGGTAGCTCATGAAGACTAGGGAAGAGAGGTAGTGAATGAGGGTAGGAGAAGTTGGGGGCAGAGTGTGGGTAGAGCCAGCTGGGTAGTTAGGGAAAGCATTGCCTTCTCCTGACTTTGATACCTGTCACCCATGGTGGTGTTCTATTTTATTAACACTAGGTAGCTAAACATAATATAGTTGCAGTTGGCTTGATCAAAATCTAGATGTCCCTCAAATCCAGGGGAACTCCTACGTGATTTAGGAACACAAGTTCTATATTTATGAAAACTGTAGTTTACAGTGTTACATAATGAGAATTCTCTGGACATGTCTGTCGAGTTACAAGGTGTGCCCCTTCCAAGCCAGAATAAAACTGCAACCTCACGACCCCTTAGTACTTCTTTTATGATCAATTAAAGATGCTGCAGTGCATGAAGGTGTCTGTGGGAGCTTTATCAGTACATTGTGTGGGCCTTTTTCTGTGCTTCTGTCCCTTGATTTGCTGGCCACAAAAATGCACAGAACCTGGGAGGCACATATAGGAAAGGGTTGTATCCTTACAAACTCAAATATCAGGCAGAAACATAGATACACAGAGCCACATCAGCAAACAACAAAGTCTTCAGAGTTTGAAATAGCATGAAACTGCATGCTATTTCATGTTCGGTCTTTCGAAAACTGTCTTTTCAAGCAGCATGTACTTAGATACTGTATATAGACTAATATAAAGAAACTGGTAAAGGGCTGTCTGATCCCTGATGGAAGAAACTTTGTGGAAAATTAAATTGTTTTCTGTACAGCTTCTATGTTAATTTAGAGAATCTGTGAAAATATGTAACAGAAATTAGAGCTGGCAAAATACTAATAGGCCCACTCTGTCAATACAAGAGAATTCTGTACAGTTTACATATGAAGGCAAAAGGCAGGGAATATCGATTCTATAACAAGCCGTGTGTTTTTGGGCAAATCACTTCACTTCTCTGTACCTCTGTTTCTGCTCCCAACCTTTACGGGATATGCCTATTTAGATAAGCCCTTCCTCACAGAGATGGTCACTTACTATGTTTTTGTATAGTCATAACCCAAGAACCTGTTGATGCCAACTGGCAGAGAGCAAAGGAGTACATATGAGTACAGGCATTCTCTGTGGTCACCAAAAATGCCATGTAAGTTCTCTAATGAAAGCCTGTGTCACACTAGTCACCCTCATTATAGTGAGATGCGTACAGAAAATGGATGAAGTATGTGTGTGTATATATATATATATATATATATATATAT